CAGTGATTGGTTCTGAAGAGACCACGTGACTTGGTGAATATGTTGTCTCTCTGCACCTTGGAGTATTCATTCTGAGGGTCCAATTCAAACCCTTCTTAAAAATCATTTTGGTGATAATTATAATTTTTTTATTCAGCTCTCGAAAATTTCTATTATTGTGTTTTGTTATAAAAATTTTGACAGAAACTGACTTGAAAATTTTATCATAAGTAAATAAATTCTAGAAAGGTTTGTTGGGTAACAGGATCAGGTTATCTTAGAAAGACAATTGTTTTCTTGTTGTTCAGGTAACATGATCAAGTTATCTTAGAAAATCAACCGTTTTCTTGTTTTTCAGGTAACATGATCAAATCATCGTAAAAAACATTGTTTTTCAGGTAATAGGATCAACTTGCCTCAGAAAAGCGTTTGATTTATTGTTTTTCAGGTAACATGATCAAATTATCTTGGAAAAACAATTGTTTTCTTGTTCTTCTGGTAACAGGATCAAATTATCGTAAAAAACGCATTGTTTCTTGTTTTTCAGGTAACATGATCTTATAAAAACAATTGTTTTCTTGTTTTTTAAATTAACAGGATCAAATTATATCAGAAAAACGACTGCATTATTGTTTTCGGATAACATGATAGAATTATCTCAGAAAAACAACAGTTCTCTTGTTTTTCAGGTGACGTGATCAAGTTATCTTAAAAAGACAATTGTTTTTTTGTTGTTCAGGTAACATAATCAAATTATCTTAGAAAATCAACAGTCTTCTTGTATCAGTATCAACTTATCTTGAAAAAGAATTGTTTTCTTATTTTTCGAGATAAACTTATCTTAGAAAAAGCGGTTGATTTCTTGTTTTACAGTGTGGTCAAGTTATCTTAAAAAGACAATTGTTTTTTTGTTGTTCAGGTAATATAATCAAATTATCTTAGAAAATCAACAGTTTTCTTGTATCAGTATCAACTTATCTTGAAAAAGAATTGTTTTCTTATTTTTCAGGTAAACGAGATAAACTCATCTTAGAAAAGCGGTTGATTTCTTGTTTTACAGATAACATGATCAAATTATCTTGGAAAAACAGTCGTTTTCTTGTTCTTCTGGTAACAGAATCAAATTATCGCAAAAAACCCATTGTTTTCTAGTTTTTCAGGTAACATGATCTCATAAAAATAATTGTTTTCTTGTTTTTTGAGTTAACAGGATCAAATTATATCAGAAAAACGACTGCTTTATTGTTTTCAGATAACATGATGAAATTATCTCAGAAAAACAACAGTTCTCTTGTTTTTTGGGTGACGTGATCAAGTTATCTTAAAAAGACAATTGTTTTCTTGTTGTTCAGGTAACATGATCAAATTATCTTAGAAAATCAACCGTTTTCTTGTTTTTCATGTATCAGTATCAACTTATCTGGAAAATAATTATTTTCTTGTTTTTCAGGTAACATGATCTTAGAAAAACAATTGTTTTCTTGTTATTCTGGTAACAGGGTCAAATTATCGCAAAAAACCCATTGTTTTCTTGTTTTTCAGGTAACATGATCTTATAAAAATAATTGTTTTCTTGTTTTTCAAGATAACAGAATTGAATTATATCAGAAAAACAACTGTTTTATTGTTTTCAGGTAACATGTTAAAATTATCTTGGAAAAACAACAGTTCTCTTGTTTTTCAGGTGACGTGATCAAGTTATTTTAGAAAAACAATTGTTTCGATAGCCATCCTTCAACATTTTGTGTGTAATGAAAGCAACAGTGGTCACAAAATTTTTGTTTCAACTGAAACTGTTTTAAAAAATGCAAAAGAAATATTAGTCACAAGAGAAACGCATAATTTGAGGTTGAAATACATTGTTCTACAAGTTGGGAAAGTTTTGGCATAATGTTAAACAAATAGGAATGTCTAGATTTGATTCTCTGGCGTTTTACGGTTTGGAAAAATACACTCGAGGAATTTATTGTATTCAATTTTTGTTCTCTAATTAGAACTGTTGATTTTTTACATCTGAGGATGCTCATTTTATATTTTCCAAGATTTCTTGTTCGCCGACGACACAAAATTCGTGGAAAAATATAAGAATTCGATTTGGAATAAACATTATACACACACCGTTAAAATTCCATGGCCGACTCAAAGCCAGATGTGCACTTGAATAAATTAATGAATATTCAAGACAGAGTAGCGTCACTATTTCATTATAGAAATTGAAGAGTTCGTGTAAGGTCTCCACAGCAGATTCTTTATTAGAAAAGATTGGCCTTCGGTATGATGAATATATTTTCGTTTTAGCATGTTTCTTGTGACGTAATTTGACATTCAAAGCTGTAGGTCACCTTGGATGACATGCTAATTTCTCCGTCGCTAAAAGATTGAGAATTCTGCTGGTATGAAAAGCAGTGACTAAGTTTCCGGTAACGGTACATACCTATCTGACACAATGTAACATTCAGAGATGTAAAATCTTGTGTATAGAAGGACACACGTTTTTCAAACTGGATTCAAAGAATATATGCAACCACCTCTATCACACCGACCCAATAATTCTTTGCTCTTCTCGTTCACGAAAAAAATTGCAATCAGCATAATCAAATATTTGGAAATATTGGTAGGTTACAATTTTCATCTGATAACCTACGAGTACTCGTCATAATATTAAATTTACGTCATTCGTTTTTACATGTATCACAGCTCAACTGGTGTGTCAATCGGAAGTGCAGGTCTGCCCTAAAAATTAGTGGAATGTTCATTTCTGAGTCTATATCAACAGACAAAATTTTTGATGACGGCGAGTTTCATTCTCAAAAGATAACATATAATTATCCAGTATGAATGTTGGACATTTGCCTATAATGAATGCGAATTTCTAATGAAAAGGGTGTAGTTTTGAGAAATACACAAACACATAGATAATAGCTAGATTTTGTTGGTGATTATACAAGGTATACCGAAAGTTGACAAAATTCTAGGACTTAAAGTCATGGTACCGGAATATCTGTAAACTTTCAGTGCTGTTAGAGATATGTGTGATTATTGTGAAAATCTATCTCTCAGATCGCTTTATCATTTGGGGAAAATTTTGCTTTATGGGATACTCACGAATTTTCGCGATTTTTTATGTGGTGGTAGAAATTCAAAACACTTTTTATTTTTTGTCGGACTCAATTAGTTTTCGAGATATAGCCTGTCAAAGTTTGTATGATGTCATATTTTACCTTTTTTTAAAGCAATAAACGATTGCAATTCACATATTTTTTTTTCAACACATCTTTTTCCATATCATCGCACTTTTTTCATCCCTTTTCATTCATTTAATGCCAAGTTTCTTGAAATTAGATTGAAATTCCATAATTTGTCACATGCTAACTCAACCTAAACTAACCCGACCTAACCTAACTCAGTCTAACCTTAGTTTAGAATTTTAAAAACTATGCATCCTCAATATCTAACCTGACCTCTAAATTCTAAAAGGAATGTATTTTCGAATATTTACTTTTGTAAAAACTATCTTTCTTCAACATCTAACCTGACCTCCGAATTCTAAAAGGGAACGTAGTTTCTTTCAATAGTGAAACTTAATGCAATTTATAAAAAGTGATTTTGGTGCACCTGACAAATTATGGATTTTCATTCTAATTTCAGGAAGCTCGGCAATAAGTGATTAAAAAGGGATAGGAAAAGGTGCGATGATATGGAAAAAGTTGTGTTAAATAAAAAAATATGTGAATTGCAATCGTTTATTGCTTTTAAAAGAAGGTAAAATATGACGTCATACAAACTTTGACAGGCTATATCTCGAAAACTAATTGAGTCTGACAAAAAATAAAAGTGTTCTGGATTCCTACCATCCCTGAAAAAATCGCGAAAATCCGTGAGTAGGTATCCCATAAAGTATAATTTAGCCATCAATTGATACTCTGGAACCGATAAACCGCCATTTTGTGAAGCCCGCCACATTTAAAATGACGGCTCAAGCGGCAACAGAAATTAACAGAGGATTCACCTTTTTCGGATTTTGTTCGTTTATAATTTTTGGTAAATTAGATTTTTGGCTGTCTAGTTCTCAATTTCAGTGGCAAGGAATTTTGATTGATTACTATGGTATGTCACAGAGACAGGTTTGTCTAGCTATCTGTGGTGCCATCAGTACCACACTGTCAGCGGCCATGGATATCCTTCTAGATCTGGTTCCCTAGAACTAGATCCTTCTAAATCTGGTTCCCAAGAAGAGAGGACTGGATTCTTCGGGAGAAGGAAATATAAAGAGCAGATAGTTGTTGTTTCACAAATGGATCAAAAACACCTTCCAGTTCTGGTGCTGGTGTTTTCAGTCGCAGACCCAGGACAGAGATATCAACCTGCCTAGGGACCTATGCGACTGTATTTCAAGTGGAAATCTATGCTACTGAATTATGTTCGGAGAGATTGGTAATCCAACCGCATACACAAGTCAGTAAAAATATTCTCGGGCAGCCAAGCGGCGTTGAAAGACTTAACAAATTGTCTCTTGTCTGGATTCCTGGCCATACTTGCCTGGAAGACAATGAGGCTGCCGACTCCCTTTCAAAGGAAGGTCCTGGAAGCTGCTTTATTGGACCAGAACCTGTCATTGGCATCGCTTTAGGCTTTGAACATTGAACATATGGATGGCAACAAGATTTATGGACTTCTGGTAAACTCTTCCATGATTGGCTCACTTCAAGGCGTACATTCACCCTTTCGAAGGTTGAAACCAGTTGTTGGATTACAGTAGGGGTAAACTACGATGTCTAACAGGCCTCTTCACAGATTACTATCGTCTGAACCATCATATGCAGAGACTCTGCAGCATATGCAGAGCACACACTTTGTGTCTGCCCCGCTGCAGACAGAATCAGGTTTTTAGAGTTTGACATAGCCGCACTGTCACTATCTGACCTGGAAGATCATTAACCATATGAACTAATAGGCTTCGTTAAGAAGCTGGGTTTATTTGGTCGAGTGGGAATAGATATGAGCCACAATGAACCCTCGCGAGTTGCGGTGGAGGGGCGAATAGACCCAGTCACTTTTAACCTAACCTAACTATGTTATTTTAATTTTTTTACAGTTTGACGTTAGTGCAGTAACTATACTGAATGTTTTCAAAATCCCCTCTTTTAATTTTTCTTAGATAGAGAAATACAACTGATACAAATGAGTAGAGTTAATGACTTCTTTCAGAATTTGGAGAGATATATTTTAAAATACTCATAAACATAAATACCGAATCAAATATTATAAGTTTTGGTCTTTAAAGGTGTAATTGCCGTTACTTTTGAGATGATTTGCACCTTGCTTTGCACAATCTCTAGCCAAAATGTCAACTCCGTATATCTCTCAAAACACCACTCATTGCATTCTCAACTAAAGCATTCATTTCTACATATTACCACGTATTTTTATTTTTGGCGCAGTGCGTACATGAGACTTCCTCCTTGGTGCAGCGCTAAGGCCTACCCTCACCTTTCTGGAGTAAAGCGAGCGAGAAATGCAACTTCCAACCGACACACATTTCATAAAAAACTCTATCTACAATCCCTCGTTTCACCTGACGTGCCACAAGCCCCGATTCAGGGTCTCGAGCTGGGGAAGTTTCTTGATCTTTTCTCGTCCCACCGTAGTGGTCCTCGTGCACCCGTACAAATCGATACACTTCAGTCTACTTAGCGATTCCGACAGAACTATCAGCGACTTGTCCGAGATATTGCTGCATTGACCGATATTGAGAGTCTCCAAATCATGCAGCGTATCCGCGATTTTCACTAACCCCTCGTCCGATATTTGGCACGCACTCAGGCTCAGGCTGCGCAGGTTGAACAGTCCTTGGGAGATGTGCACCAGAGCCTGGTCGCCGATCTTGTCGCAGAAGGAGACGTCCAGAGAGCTTATCCTGGAACCGCCTTCTGCTAGGTAGGCCATGCCGATGTCGGAAATGTTGTCGCACGACCTCAGGTTCAGCTCGCGCAGGTTCGGCATCTTAGCGAGGTGTTTCAGTCCGCTGTCCGTTATGCTGATGCAGAAGCTCAGGTTAATGGATTTGAGGGACGGCAGGCCAGTTGCGTGCCTGAGGGCTTCATCGGAGAGCCTTTGACAGTCCTGCAGACCTGCAACAAGGAGAAAGATTGGGTTAGTTCCGTTTGAATGAGTGGTATCCAGAAGGTTATTCAAATAACCATCAGACACTTACCTAAATACTCTATCGGCTGATTCCCCAGCGCTAAGTGACTGATACCCTGATCACTAATGTTCCAGCACGATCTCAGGTTCAGCCTTTTGAGCTTCTTGAGCCCCCAAGCGATCAACACGAGGCCTGTGTTGGTTACTCTGCAGCAACCTCCCAGCTCCAACACTTCCAGGTTCTTCAGAAACTGGGCTATCCTGCTGAGTGAGTTGTCAGAGACTTGCTTGCAAAGAGAGAGATCCAGCTCTGTCAGAGAGGGGAATTCGTGTATGAACGCTTGGGAGATGTTGGTGTCTGTTACATTGAAGCAGCCGCTTAGGTTGAGTGAGACTAAGTTGGGGATGCCTGAAACAAAAGAGAGATGTTTCAGAAAGGGGTCCAGCTGGTCATGGTTCTCCTGTACAACTAGGGAATACACGATGTAAAGTAACAGGGCTTATAACTGTTCCTTGTAGTGTTCCATACATAGAACCTCTTATCAAGGTACAGGGAAAAATACATTTTGAAATAAATTAATTGGTAATTTCCGTCATAATTGTTGATATTCATGCTATGGATCATATGATTAATAATATTATTTATATCAAATGAATTATATAAAGAACCTAAAAGTAACTAATATTGACGAAGACAATTATTGATAGAAATATGTATTATTTATTCATTTTACGTGATGAATGAAGCAGAGGAAAGTGCATTTAAAATTAAACAGTTTAAACAGATCGAAGAATACATCGAACTTTATTTTAAAATGCATATGACAGGGTATATGTTTTAGGCATTGTATATAATTGACTCATTTTATGGATTATACAGATATTTCACAAAATACAAATGCAAATGCAAAACATAATAAACAATGGTTTGCAAACATTCCTTAGTTCAACTTTAGGGTCTCATGGCCCTCTTTTGAAGAACAAATGTAGAGTTTAGAAGTATTTTCGAACTACTGTATGAACTGTATTATCCATTCAGATTAAAAACAACCCCATGCCAGTTTTTATAGAAATTCTACGGTAACAGACGGTAGATCAAAAACAGAAGATGACTTGAACCCTGAGGAATACTGTGAGTATTTCTTTCTCACCGGACATACATCTCATCAGTGGTGCTATGCTGAACTACGAGTGCATTGCTAAAACGACAAGGCTGAGGAAAAAATAAGTTATATAATTTTTATTTATTTATTTATTTGTAATACAATACTCTACAGAACATAGCCCAATTACAGAGCAGGAAATAACAGAGTATAATAAATACATCACAAAACAGGTGACTATAAAAACTACACATTCTATATTTATAATAGGTGACAACACAATTACTTTAGGAAGTGGGATTTTATATCTGACAATTTGCAACTAAATATATCTAAATTATCGCTAACAGAATTTGTCACTTTACACATGGTATGGATCGGAGAATTCTTTTTTATATAGAAAGTACTCGGGTGTCTGGAACACATTCTAGGAATGCAAATATTAAACTTTTCCAGTAATGTTGGGCAGTCAACTATGCTTTTGATAATTTTATAGGTTAGTACAACACTATAATATTCACGCCTTTTTTCGAGACTGAAAAAGTTATGCTTTTGTAGCAATTCAGAGTGGGTTGTTCCTATTGGAGGATTAATACCATCAGTTTTTAGGCTTAGCAGTTTTAAAAATCGGCGTTGAATTGCTTCTATTCTATCTATATGATATTGATAAAAGAGGCTCCACATAACTGACGCGTATTCTAACTTTGATCTAATGAAAGCATAGAATAGAGTTTTTGGGGTCGAAGTTTGTTTGAAATCACGACTGTTACGTGCAATTAATCCGTACAAACGACAGGAGGAGGTTACAACATTATCGATATGCCTAATAAATGATAGTGCAGTGTCAAATGTGACGCCAAGATCAGTATATGTTTCTGTACTCTCTAGGAAAACGTTTTCTATTGAATAATCAAAGATCAAGATGTTCGTTTTTAAACTGTAGGACATGACCTTACATTTATCTAAGTTTGCCTCGTCCTAAGTTTGCTAAGAGGTTCACACAATCATCAATGTTCTCAACGAGGCAGTATAGTTTTAGATCATCAGCATACAAAAGGAAATATACATCTATAACATCTGCAATATCGCTAATGAAGATATTGAAGAGCAGCGGTTCCAGAGTTGACCCTTGTGGAACACCGGAAGAAGCGCTATATTCGGTAGATTTGACTGATCGATAGGACTGAAAAAGTGCAATTGAGGAAAGGATAGTAGATTTTTTGCGATGAAGCCATGTAGTTCAGGAATTATTACGAATTCCTTAACTTCTCTAGGATTCCCTAAATGAATGTGTGAGGAATCAAGCAATTTATTATTATTATCATTAAAAATCGTCCAGACTCCCGCTGAGTTCCTTAAAGTTTAATTAAATTTATCAGGGTACAATCTGAATAATAACTGAAGCAACACCTAGCACCAAGGTTTCTCGATAAAATATCGAATTACCAGCTGCCTCCCGTAGGGCCTGACAAAAAAAAGCTTTAGCCAAGACCAGAACATATGCACATCACACACCTAGTGTCTGAGAACGGCCATCGAACAGCTGTTGGCCACGTCAAAGATGGAAGACAGAAAACAGTCGCCTCGGATATAGTCGGCAGGGTTGCCAATCCAGATTCATCAAAATCACTAGTAAACAAATATGTAAAATCCCCACTTTCGGAGTCCTCACCTTAATGTTGGGTTAGGATTTCATTTGGAGCATATGTATTTTTTTTCTGTGTTGGCTACTCTCTTCAATTTGTCATTAGTTTCAGTTGTACTACATTTTTTGAGTGTTATTTGTTGTTTGAAAGTTGTTTTCATTGTATCCACATCAAAAAAGATTTTGTTTAGAGCATATTTATTTTTTCTGAGTTGGCTATTGTGTGCCTGTGTCATTACTGTCAGTTATCATACGTTTGTATTGTTCATTTTAGAGATTCATGTGCTGTTGGGAAACTACCGTATAAATTGTTCGTTTGAAGAATTGATTCATATAAATAATCATTTGTGAAAAATTGAAAACACAATCAATAACTTATGGATCAAGATCAACCTTGTTGTGACCTGAACACAAAAAAATCACCCTGTATAATAATAAAATGATAATGCATACTTATCAAATAGTAAAAACATTGTTTCGAATCCTGACACAAATCCCCAACAAACACTACAGACAATAATTACACATCGGCAACCATGATAAACAAAGAACCATGTGGTTATTTGCTGAGGCCTTCTTAAACTTTTCATTCGTCACTTTGCTGTCCCGAAAGGAAACCAGTAAATGAAGAATTGTTTGTTTTTCGAGAGGAATGTCACAAGAGAGTCGTTGGGAAATTATACGGGGTGGTCAAAATGTTTTGTGAAGCATATTTGTCATATTTTTGAAGCATATTCTTTGTGGAGGAGTCGCCTCTTCTTACTGTTTTTTGGGTTCAATACAAGCCAGTGGACTAGAACAGGGGTCTCCAAATTTTGAAGCCTTCGGGCCATAATGATTTTTTCAGTTTGTTCCAAGGGCCAATTTTTGCCTTTAACTATATTTCTAGACTAGGATAGTCGCAAAGTGCGTGACCTAAGCAAACTTACGCTTTTCTGCATTTCAATTAATATTGTGTATTGTGACACTTAACGACATCTAGTGGCGAGTAGTGGTACTATTTACTATATTTTTCAGCTACTCGCTAGGTGGCATTATGCGTAATTAAATATTTGGAATTACCGCGTTGGTTCGAGAAAGTTCTGGTTCTAGCTAGTGTATTCCAATTACCGCGTTGGTTCGAGAAAGTTCTGGTTCTAGCTAGTGTATTCCAATCACCTGGAGATGGCAGTAATAATTGCATATAAAAAGGCTAGCGGCGCAACTGCGAGTTAGTCTGCGTAGGAAAGGCGAAGGAAGCGAAACTGTCTATTGTGAAATAGAGTAACACCAGTCAATAAAAGTATTTTCATTTGACTTATTGTTTATATGTGTGATTTGTTAGTATGGAAAAGAAGCGAAAGATCGACAGTGAATACAGAATGTTCCAAGAAAAATGGAACTCTTTGTATTTTGTGATTGAGTCCAGTAATAAGGCGCTATGTTTAATTTGTAATGAAACCATAGCTGTTCTCAAAGACTATAACATTAAACGACAATATGAATCGAAACATCTTCAAAGTTCTCCAAGTATACAGGAAGTTTGCGGAAGGAAAAATTTGAAGCTTTGAAACGCGGACTCAAACGCAGCAATCTTTGTTTGCGGGCCGGATTGATGACACTGGCGGGCCGGATTTGGCCCGCAGGCCGTAGTTTGGAGACCCCTGGACTAGAACAAAGCCTTGGCAACTTCCTTACTCTCATAAGTATTGGAGAGACTTTTTGTTTTGTAACTATAACGTTGGTCAATATTAGGTAATCATCTGGGTTACCCAGCGACTATTCGATAATTTCGTAAGTACTCCACTAATTATAATAATTATAAAGAGATTAGAATCGTCTGGGATTTGTCTCTATTCAGATTTAGCTCGTTACGTGACAACAAGCTCTCTAATTTCACTTGTTTCGTCTACGTATTCCTGTGTGTTAAAAATATTTACTTCGACGTTTGCTACAACTTTTGGCAGAGATGTTTGTGTTAGATTGAGGACGATGAGATGACATTTTAGGAATGACAAAGAAAGTATACACTTTCTGTTTCAATTAGATACATTTGGTAAAAATTACATTGTTAATTTTAAAATTAATTAGTTCAAACAGGTACGAGGGTGATAATGTTTCCGATCTAACAAAAATACATGCCATTTTTTCAGTTTTTTTTAATTTTTCAACATAGCCTCTTTTAAACTTAACACACTTCTTCCAGCGACGCTCCCATCTCTGTAACCCGCCCAAATAGTTCTCCGCGTTTTCTCTGCAAAATAATTGTTCACGAATTTGTTTGCCTCTTCATTTGACGAAAATCGCAATTTTTAGATGAGGGAACAAAAAGTCACTCGGGGCTAGATTTGGTGAGTAAGGCGGATTTTCGCCATGGCAACCACTGAGGTGTGAGACAGGATTTTTTCTCTGCAAATGTAACGGTTTTCCCCAAGTGCTCCCTTCAGATTGTCAAATAATTATGCGTAGTATGCTCCTTTGACGGTTTTTCAGTTTTGAAGATAATCAAATAGAATAACTCCATGACTATCCCAAAAAACAGGTTTGGGTGTATATAGTGTAAGTTTCATCCACAGTAAATAATTGGCGCCAAAACTCGGATTTATTGCGTCTAAACTACGCCTCAACTTCGCCAACAGCTTTCTTATGCCTAAATATTGATTTAATGTGTGACAAACACATTCCTTTGACATGTTGATAACCTCTGCTCCCTCTCACTTTGATTTCCCGACCGTCTAGCACCATTTGCGCACTTTGGCGATATTTGAATCATTTAATAGATGTCGTTCTTAGTATGTGAGTGTGAAACATCATCAAAATAATATAATTTGTAATGGTACATCTGCCAATACCGATATTAATATAGGATCAATTTTGGGCCCAGTTCTTTTTATTTTATACTCACATAAATGACCTGTGAAACTGCTCTATGCCAACTAACTTCTTGGTTCAATCAAATCACTCTTTATTTTAATGCAGACAAAACTAACCTTGTGAAATTTCATAGTCATCAGAAGGAATTGGTAGATGTAGATATAATTTTAAATGATACAACACTGCCAATGAATAACAGCTGTAAATTCTTAGGACTATTCGTTGACTCAATTTTAGATCTCATCTCTCCACTATATGTTCAGAAATCTCAAAGTTGTTTTGACATAGCAACAATTAATAAACTTATACTACGCACAAGTGGAAAGTCGACTGAGGTATGGTATTTGCCTATGGGAACGTCCTCTTATCACAGAAAAAAATCATTAGGTGCATTGCTGGTGTGGAAAAAGACTATTCTTGTCGAGAACTCTTCAAAAGACTTGAAATTCTGACCTGTACAGGCCTCTATGTATTTGAAGACTGTATTTATGTCTCCAAAAATAGGGATTTGTTTTTCATAAATAATGAGTTCCACGAATACAACACACATTGTGTGTTGGTCTAAAATTCCTCAGTGAATACCGTTTTAGACATTTGCAAAGACACATCTTCATGCAAATCAATTATCTCTATTTGAAGTGATGGCTTGGGTTTGGTTTGGCTGGTTTTATAACTCCACAACTTTGCAGACACATCTGTCGATTCTGCCGCTACATCAATTTCAAATGGCGATCTAAGAAATGGACATAGTTTGCTTATCTCTGTGAAGTCTTGGAATCATTTCATAAATACTGCAATACTTTCTTCAAAGTTTTTTTATATTATTATTTTATAAAAATCCTCATTACATTTATTCACTCTCACGATTTACTACATACCTTTTGAGTAATTTCCAGGGCATTTTAGTCAAGATTCAAGCAGTTTCAACTTTTCACACTATCACTGACTTGACTTGATATCTTTTCTAGAGGTCAGTTCGAGGGTTATATTATGCCGTATATCTAATCCGCCAACAGTTCAACTCACTTCCTGTAATTATTACCCAGTCAGGCAGTGTAGTTCTGTAGCTTGAATACAAAAGAAATATCCAATGTAATATTCGTAGTGGCAAATACATGCTCGATTCTGATTTGAAATTCATTCCCCATCTTAGTCATTTACTCACGAAATCCTACAATAGACAGACATTGCTTGAATCGATCAATACGGGATTTAGTTATGGAGATGTTGTCCATGGAAACCTACAAAATTTGAGCAAAATCGCATTCAGAAAGTACAAAATTTCTGTTGTCGATTTATATTTTGAATTGAAATGGTAGACAATGTCTAACCGTAAACAGTATAATTTTTGTTTATTACTGTGTAAAATGAGGAAATTCAAAATTCCTCCGACTCTATACAGAAAACTAAAACCTAGGTCGATTCTTCATTCATCAGATGTAAGAAACAAATATCATTTGCATGTATGGTCGAAGTAAACGATATTGTGCATATTTAAAGTGACGGCACTCTCAAAGGCCAAAAAAACCAATACACAGAAAGCCGAACTAGTCCACATGGACTGTAGACTTGGCGGTTGGTATTGGATAATTTTTACTAAACAAGTTTTATGATTGACCGAAGAGTCATAAAATTTAATTTGAAGTCATGTTACGGTGACGAATAGAAATCGGGGATGGTTATCGCCGTCGTGTTCAGTTCAGGAACTGATCGCGATTTGAATGTTGAAATTCGATATTGGTGCAGTTATAATTACTGGAAATGTTTGTTATCTGTTTAAAATGTGGCGTCCTTGGACAAGTACTAATAATAATAACGAGTGTGATAACAATGCAGACTTTTTCCAGTATAGTGATTCCAATAGCGATGGTAAACAATGCGAACAAGAGATCCCAGTGAATAAGATTCGGATGCATTTGAATATTAAAACACAGAGAGTATGTTTCATTGTATATAAGAATCTACATCTCAAGTTTCGTTTCGAGGGAAAAACATATTACAAGCAATACCAGATTTGACCGATATTCAATTCTGTACTGTACTGTACGTAAAATAGTCAAAAACAAACCTTATGAACGCAAGACGCGATATGATACGGGATTACCTAAACCTTCAGATGTTCATCTGATAAAATCATTAAAAAAAAACGATATATGACTGTTACAAAAGCAATGAGATTCCTACAACCGAAATCATAAGAAAGAAATTGAATACTTCCGGCCATAACGTGAGTTGCTGTGACACACTAGTTCCTAAGTACGACCTAGACATCATTGAAATTGATGATATTAAGGAACAAGAGGTTGAAAATGCTATTAAGACACTGAAACCTAAAGCAGCCATTGGAATCGATGGCATTCAAGCCTACTTTTTCAAGGTTTACTGTGACTTGTTAAAGCAACCACTGACATTGATATTCAATCTTTCTCTGAAAGAAAATCGTTTTCCAAGCTTTCTCAAAATTGGCAAAGTTACCCCCATACACAAAAACGGCAATAAGAACAATGTAAGAAACTACAGACCTATAACAGTCTTACCAGCTTTGTCGAAGATATTTGAACGGGTAATATATAATCGAGTATACAATCACGTGGACTCAGTAATGATCGACCAACAGCACGGCTTTATTCGTAATAAATCTACCATTACCAATGTATGCGCATTTAGTAACTTAGTAACTGACCTGGCCAAGGCATTCGACAGAGTTAACCACGATGTTTTGATCCTGAAATCAAAAGCATTCGGTTTCAAAAACAACACACTTGATTTCTTTTACTGCTATCTATCCAACAGAGTACAGTTCGTACAGTTTAACAACGTATCTTTCTTCAAATTCACCGCTACTTTGGGAGTTCCGCAGGGCTCGATTTTGGGACCTCTCCTTTTCGTGTTTTTTGTTAATGACATTTCTCGGTATATCGGGCATTCTCAATTTCTCCTATATGCCGATGATCTCAAGCTGTTTAGAAGAATTGAAAGCGAAAACGATTCTGATATGCTTCAAGATGCTCTCAAAAATCTATCTACTTACTTTTCAGTATCTGACCTATCTCTCAACGAAGCTAAATGCAAAATAATGAGTTTCACACGAAAGAAGTCACCCACTATCAAGGACTATTTCATTAATCATACCAATTTACAGAGAATAAATGAGATGAAAGATCTCGGGATCATTTTTACTGGTGTGTTCAGTTTCTCTGGGCACATTGAATACTTAGTATCTGAATGTTATAGAAAAATGAACTTTATTTCAAGATCTAGCCGTGAATTCAATTACGATACTTGTTCTTTAACTCCATTGTTCGTTCTAAGCTGGAATATGTTTATGTCATTTGGAAAATCCAAAGATCTTTTTATATTCTGAAACTATAGAAAAAGTCCAGAAACGATTATTAAGAACACTCTTTTTCAGAAAACACAATGTTTGGCCTTTATTTATATCATATTCTAGCCAATTACATGAATTTAACATGCCACCTTTGAAAGACCTTCGTGAGTCCTCGGAAGTAATTTTTGTTTTTAACATTCTCAGAAAACTGAAAGTACCTGAAATTCTCCATAATATTGATTTTATTGTACCTGACGTAAGACTAAGAAGAAGACTATTTCGTATCTCAAACAATTTGTGTCCTGTCTCGAAACAGTTAACAAAATGGCGAGGAACCGTGAACTGGATATATTCAGTATTGCAGAGGGACAACTCCTCCGAATGCTCAAATGTGTCTGAATATTTTTACGGCCATTTTATTATTTACTGTTTTATATTGTAATATTTTATATAGATTTTAACTGTATCAATGGTGTTCAATGAATACTATATGTAAGTAAGGAACTTTCGATGAAACTGTACATCATGTAAGTGGAAACCATTCTGTTTGTTGTTCAGTATAAATAAATTTCTATTCTATTCTATAATCAGAAATGATTATTGAGTGAAGAAATTAGTTAGCTCCCTAACTATTTTATTAAAGGGAAACTGCTGGAAGGTAGGGAGCACTATATCGTTTACTATACCTTTTTCAGAAATCTTTCACCTACTTATCCTTCGAAACTATTTGAAACTTCACTATTTGAAAATCAATTTTCTACAACAGCCAGGATAAATTATAAAATAAACCCGTTATTATAGATTACTACTTTTGTATTTTGATAAGAATGTTTTTGTAAAACATTACTATTCAATAACCCTTCCTATTAAAACTTTACAAATAGTCAATAGAATTTTGAGAATTTTTGTTTGCGTGCTAGGCGACATTTTTGAGGTTAAGTGGAAGAGCAATTGAATGATGACTTGTCATCGTGCAAATTAAACTTCGCCTTTTGTCTTGATATAACAGTCAAATTGTACCTGAACTAAGTACTTCAACTAATAAATTTTCATATCAAAGAAAAAAATATGAGAAATCCTGACATTTTTCATATAGTTTTTCTATACCAATTATGGTTTGAAAAGTCCGATTCCTCGTATTCTGAAACTTGAAAATCAATATCATAATAACTAAGATCTGTTTAATGTATCACTTCAGGTTTTTAATAATCAATTGAAAAGGCTATAGCGTTTTAGAAGCTTTTCTTTACCTTACCATTTTCTTTGTAAGTACCAGATTTGTTACATCTTTTTTCTTCTAAGTACCATATTTGTTTCATCTTTTAGTAGACATTTTCACACTATTTCACACTAAATATTTTGTAAAATTGTAATTTGTAATGTAGACATCCGACATGAGCATTCAAAAATACTTTGTAGTTCCTCAAACTTGGTTAAATATGTTTTTGAAAATGGGATTTGGCGTAGAATACGTAGATAAATAATTTGCTTGAAAAATGCATTTGAAGATGATAAAGACGATATTATTATCATTATTATCAACTGTACAACTTAGATCAAGTGCAGGAAAAAACAGATTTTAAACAGATTTAAACAGAAAGCTTTAGGCTGAACTTTGCCTATTTGATGTACGAAAAGGAAATTAAGACGATTTATTATTATTTCTGCAATATGCGATTTTTTTCTCGTATAGTCAAAAAATTTACTGAAGATTCACCAATTTTAGGACATGGGCTATAAGCAGGTTTAATTAATTTAACATTTGTTATTTAAGTATGTACCTAATACTTTTTTTATGTGAGAGTTAAGGAATTCATAAGTGTTTTGTCACGTTGGTTCGTTATTTCTTTTACAGTATTAGTGAGTATAAACATAATTGAAACATTTCGGAAAATCAATTTGGTTTCAACAACATTTTTATTTTTATGAAAGTAATATTTTGGCTGTCCACTTTCCCATCTTTATACAAAAATATGGGAAACTTCCCTGAGGAAGGAAGAAAGCATATTATAAAAAAATCGGCCGTTCCTTAGTGCGACTCTGTACAAGCAGCCTTGTCTGGGAGATCGCGTGCACTATGCATGATAATGTTTTGGAGCACTCTTTTGCTTAGATGGACAGAGTATAATCTCTCCGACAGAAATATATCCCTTTCGATTTTCATTTCATAATTAGCTTGTATTTTTACTAAAACATTGCTGTTTCTATTTGTCGAAGAAACAAATAAGCTAGCCCGTTGAACTCAAAAGACAAAATGCAGGAAAGTTTTGAAGTGGTTGATATGATTTTATTATGATTCGAAAGAAACAATGAAAGAACAAATAAAATTGAAATGAATAGCTAAAATATCAATTATATTAAACAATAGATAAAACGTGAGAGAAAATATAATCAAAGGAATAAAATAATCAAAATAGAAAATAAAGATGAAGACAGAGTAAAAAATAACTGAAAAGTTAAAATAGTTAAAATAAAATAAGCAAAAAATTTGAAAATAAATTAAAAATGATTTCAAACAAAGTTACTTCACGTCGTTTCGATTGTTAGTATCTGCAATCATCTTCGGCGCATCACCAAACTTGGTTTGAAATCTTTTTCAATTTATTTTCTAATTTTCTCCATATTTTCATTTTATTCTTTTCATTTTTCAGTTATTTTTTACTCTGTGGTCATTTTCATTCTGTATTTTATTTTATTCGTTTTACTGTATTATGTTTTATTGCTTTTAATGCACTGTTGGGAACCTTTGGTGTAGTAATGAATATTCATGTTTTAATGTTTAATATAATTGATATCTAAGCTCATTTTTGTCTCGTTTATTAACTCTGTTGAAAATTTTTTTGCTCCACGTTGTTATTTATTATTTATAATTCATGCACACGTGGCACAAAAAAAATTTATGTAAACATTCTTTATGTGTGGGAGGGATGGAAATATTTTGAGAATTAATGGCTTCTATTTCAACTAAGACCTATTTTTTATTTACTGTTTTTATCGATGATTTTTACCAAATTTACCGTCGATAATCTCGAATGGATAGAGAGAATAAGAGCCTGAAATGAGGCTGATAGTCTGATTAAACAAAATGATTTTTTCTGTGATATCTTCATCAAATCAAGAGTAAAACATTTGGGAGTAGGTACAAAGTAATCTTGAAATTATGACCTGAAAACAAGTGTGAAAATTTTAAGTGATTTTGATAATTTGACACTGGTAAACGAGCTTGTAAATTATTAAAGATTTGAAAGACTATGGAAAACTCTTTTAAACTCTATTTTCACCGTTCAGGTAAAAATAATTCGAAGAAAAGGGAATAAATAAACTAAAAACTGTAGCTCTAGATTTCAACCTTCAGTCTAGTAAAATCTTTGGAAACATATCTATGAATAAGTGGAAAAATAAAGTTTCTGTAACATTAACTTTAAATTTGAAGTTCGTCTTTTGGTAAATTACTCGTTTTTGGCAAAAATTTATTACTATATACAGAAATGACAAATACCTATACGAATTTTGTTCTTGCTTCTGTAGTTCGATAAAATAGTCCTATCTACAATTAACCAACTGAGAAATATCCACTCTTTTCTGGAACGAAATATTTTTAGGCTGAAGATTACAACTACAGGTACCAGGTCAATAAACCCTAATTTGTAAATGTTAGATAGGATCGGGGATACTATAAATCCCGGTAATGCAATTGAAAACACAAAAGGAACATACACATAAGCGCCTTATCCATCTCTTTCAGATTATAATTAGAATTCACATCTATGAAACTTTCGGGGGTCAGTAAAATATGGTCCGTTTTACTTCTGGACTTGCCATTGTTGTTTTATTGTAAAACGATTGAAACAATCAATCAATTTGGCAAAATAAACATAAATTTGACGAGAATAGATTTTTCTTGATATTCAAAGAGATGTTTTCTACTATCATAAAAAATTGTAGCTGCGGGGATCGACGTTATTTTCTGAAGTTTCAGTCTATAAAAGGCTTCGCCATAATTTTCAAAATCACAGATTAGTAATCTTTCCAGGAAAAGCAGCAGGTATTTATTTGTATATTGGATTGAAAACTTCCAAAGAAAAATAGAAAACATAGTTTTTGTATACCCACACCGGAAAAGCTGACAGAAAAGTCAGTGATTTCTTAGTAAATTGCCATAGGGAGAGTAGTTGTTTCTTGAACATAGTAACTTATTCTTTAATTTCTTTACATTGTAGACTGAATTGTGTACTGTCGCCTGTTTAAATGTGAAATTACTATTTCGATTTCTATTCAAGAAAATCTTTGATATTAAAAATCGGGAAGAAAGTCTTCTTTATATTTCTTATGGTAATGACGTGTTTTTCCAAATATCTTCTTATAACCTATATTTTCAGAATTCTTCCAATATTGAAGGAAGCTTGATTGTGATTTTTTAAAAATAGGTATCTAATTAGGAATGGTTTGAAGGTTTTTGATTTCGAAGTGAAATGATTTCGCCCGTGATTTTCCCTACCAATACGCCAATTGGGTGAAGGATCAATAGTTTCATGGTTGATTTTTTAGTAGTATTTGCTGCCTCAATGTAAAAAAATAGTTATGCAAATGCACCTTGCCAGATATTTTTTGTCATTCTTCAATGATAGATTAATGAAGATTTCACTCAAAATAGTAATATTTATGTGTTACTTTTATTTTCGGTACAATAATCGTACCAATTCAGAGACCATATGCCTCAAAATAATTGAAAAAAGGTACTTATACAATTAACAGGAATTTCAACCAAAACAATCGCTTTTAAACCACTTCTTTAGAAAGTAAGCAATCACGGATTATTCAAAACTTAATTGGGCTCATTTGTAATAATTACTTACTGTAAATTATAAAAATTTTATCATAAAAAATAACTGTCAGCGGTTTGTCACTTTTGGGAGGGGGGAGTCCTATTACTCAATTGACGTTAGCGCCTGTCAAAAATTTTGAGTTGACTGCGTTTGTCTCACTCTTTTTTCTTTTTCTTCTCTACATTGAGGAACGAAATACTTAATTGGCAAAAAACATGATGATTTTTTTTCTAGAATTAGGAGCTAGTGCAATACTGAATACTGTTTCGTTTTATAATAACAAAAAAGATTTTCATCTTTGATGCGGGATTGAAATGAATTAAACTTTTTGATTGAAACGGGCTTTCGTTATTTTTTTCCAGAATGAATATAGAAACTATAGTTTCGATGAAATACCGAGTTTTACTTTCAAAATATGGTATGAAATAAGTGAGTTTATGATTTTAAACGTACACAAATTGTGTCCCAACCCACTCAGTATTCGGAAAACCTGGACATTCCCCTCCCCATCCTTTCTCACTCAAAAAAACTTCCACAAAACATTCAAAACAAAGTAAAAACTCGTCCCAACCTTGTATGACGTCCCTCAACGACCTCCTCATCGACAGCACCTGAACCCTCTTGATCCCGCGTCGCACCAGCGACGAAAACAGCGCGGGGTTCGCCCTCCGCAGGTGCAACTTGGCTTCCACACCCCGCCACACCGACTTGTTGTACGCTGCTTCCCTCCAGGAGGTACACACCTGAGCAGCCCTGCCCTTGTCCCTCACGCTGAGGTTGCTGAAGATGATCGCCAAGATTTCGGGGTACAGACACGAGATGTGGTTCTTCCCCCCGAGCTCCGGTTCCGGCTCAGGGGGCTCTTCTACGGGCTCCTCTACGCGCTCCCTCTGCCAAATGAAGTCCTGGACATGGAACCTGCTGGTCGGGTGGTGCGGAAGATGGTACGGCTGGTACCTGGTTCGTTGGTGTTGTCTGAACAGCACCGCCGTCGTCAGCAGCGGCACCGGCAACTCGGTGAACATCACTTGCGTGGGGTCCTCCATCACTATCACACTAACCGTAGCGTCTACGTAACGATCGCCATGGTAACTGAGCGAAATTTCTCTCACGAACACTCGGAGTATACTGGTTAATCGAGAGCGGCGTGCTGGTTGCCAGAGCAGAGACTGTCGCTTGCGGGGCAGGATTGGCTGGCGCGCGCACCACGTGATAGAAGAGGCACCTAATCGGGTGGAGAGGTGGGCGGGTCGGAAAGGGTAGCGCCATGGATTGAGGGGTGGGGATTGGGGTGGTGGGGAGAAATATTTGGTTTGGATATTTGTGTGTACCGGGTGTTTCGTGATTGGGGTGAATGAGGACTGTTTCGGACGAAGCATATACAGTGTCATCCCCAAAGTATGCACCATATGGGAAACTCATTTATTAAGGGTTTTTCGACATACCTGTGGTATGGGACTTTACTTGCGTCGACACGGTCGCGGCTTCCCATCTAGCCGAAAGTTCCAAGTCTGCTGGAACTGCAGCATTGCCTGGCGAGAAATTGAAAAGGAAAAAATACCAAAATCTTGGAAACAACTATCTGTTTCATCCAGTAGCGGTTGAAACTTTTGGTGAATAATATTTTGTCGAAAAACCCTTAATAAATAAGTTTTCCATATGGTGCATACTTTGGGGATGACACTGTACATATGACGGGTTCTGATTAGACGTTTAAGAAATTGTAAAAGTGTGGAGAGTTTGGTGCTGGGCCATAGTTCAGATGGGGGTCAAACTCGAAAAAAAATCCGTATGGTTCGTAGAAATAGCCAGTGCAGGATTTGAAAGACTGAAGGCCTTGGGGCAACGAAGGAATGGAGATCCTTTGAAAAAAAATTCCCGCTAGGAAAATTGAAAATTTTCAAAAAAGGAAAAGGGAGCGAAAATCGACGCGTTCAGTAGACAGTTTTCTGACCGGACATTTGAAGTTAATATCAATGTTTTTATCAAATGAATATTTTGGATGTTGTCTAACTTAGATCCCAAGAAGGTCTAACTAGGATCATTTCAAAGGAGCCAGCATATATTACAATCCCAGATAATTATTTATTTACTATGAAGAAATATCAATACTCGACTTCTTTCGTTTTTTAAAATATAATGAGCTATCTAATTCACAAAGTTCTGTGAAAAAAATCGTTTAGGGACTTCTGCAATGTTTTATTTTAGGCCATCGGGAAGCAGTAGTTGCAATTTTTGAACATAGTAAGGATGAAGTAGACTATTCAACAAGATCCTTCGGATACTTTGATGGTTAACGTTCAGATTTCAAATTTCAAGCAACTTTTCCACTACTTCTTTCTGCTTGCCCGCTTGGAGGTGTTCTAACAGTACTAGATTGTCCAGTTCCGTCGGCATTTTCAGAAAAGAACTGATTTCATAAAGGTGGTGATGAATTTTCGGATTTACGACTATCATGTATCGAATGATTTGCATATCTTACTATATCAAGAAGTAGGCTTAGTATCGAGAGATTGAAAAAATGATATACCCAGAAAATTTAATATTTGTTCATGTAAAAAAACTTTGTTTGAAATCTGCTTGTTCGTTAAACACCTGTCGCCACCTTACCCTCAAAAGTCAAAACTTATGCGAGCTTATTAACAGGGTATTACGTTTTAACGTGTAACTTACTCAACTGACTCAAGACAAAGTTAGGGAAGAACAATAATAAACAAATGCAAATTCCATGACCACAACAAGTTCTTCATAGCAAACTTGACATGAGGTGAATTGAAGAACCATTTTTGAATCAACGGATACTACTTTGGAAACCAATTTTTACCCGTATTAGTTTTTATCAGAAATGTTGCGATATGATTTAAATGGAGGTTCAGATATGTTTATCTAGGACTATTGAAAAAGGCGTTATGTATCGTTTCCTCATCTTCCAACAAAATACATAATTGTCCAAATTCATAACTGACACCTTCGATGCAAATCACAGATAAGGAAATTCATAACTTCATAATTAGTTCCTATCGCGAGTAAACCATGATAATTTTTTACTTCAGAATATGTTTCCAGATGTCAAACTTAAATATTGAGTACAAGCCTTATCAACGTCAGTTTATTTTGACCATTCAGCATTCAAACTACTCAAAATTGAATACTTATTGCTTTAAAGGTTTCAAATCTTGAAACCAAACGCCATTTGACCGATAAATAATAGAAAAAAAACTGAGTTCAGAGTTGTTTACCTTACCTTTTTTCTGGGCGTATCCCTGGGCGACGATGAATTGAAGAAAATATTCTTGAATACCCTTTAAGGTTGCTTGTTGTAACGACTTTCCATGGTATTTCTCATACTCGAGATATTCTTCACAAAAGACTCTTATTTTCAAATGTTCCCGTTGCAAGTCATAGAATAAGTATAGTATTCTATACGCGAAAAATGGCCACTATCTGCTCGAATGAAAAACTTCAATTTCACGAGTAATGGACGCCCTTCTTGCTCTTTGAATAATACACTATTTTGTTGTTTTTAAACATGTCGCTTATACTCTAGATATCTCTTTAAAGGTGTAAAATATCGAAGTCAAGAAACAAGCATATTTGAACACAGAATTGGTGATTTTTAGTGACGGGGAGGAAAAAAAGTAAGACGCTCTAAATTGTTCAATAGTATTCTTTTATAGTCATTTCATAGGCATTTATAATGGAAGATTGTGCAGCAAGTTTGAATTTGATAGTTTTGAAAAATTGATGACCAGTTATATCATAAACGAAGCCTTTGAGGTTATGGATTTATAAGAGTCCGAATCATCCATAACATCACCCACTACATTTTCAAAACAACCTGTATATCGGTGTACTATTAGAAAACACAAGAAGTTTTTTTATCAAAATCTAATTTCTTCTAAAAAATATCCTCTTTTCAGTAACTCAATTTTCGCGTTACCTTTACTTATCATCATTCCGCCTTCGCGATCCTGTGACCGTCCGTGATTCGCCAGAATCGTATCGATTCGGCTCCTCACGGCGGCATTTTTAAGTTCCACGAGGCTACTTCGCCCCTCCATCTAAGGGCGGCCGGTCGCTGATTCTGGCGGAGGCACGGCATGCCGGATGGATGTAGTGGATGCCAGTGTATTTTTCATCGAGACGAAAATTCAGGTTATCGCGGCTGGCTGTGTCCGCGTGGAGAATTGACATCGACTGATGTTGGGAAGAAAACGCAGCATATTTTCTGTTTCTTCAATGATTCGGACGTTGAGAGTCGAAATTTCAATATAATGGGTTTTATTATATACAGTTTCACGTAGTAATCCACTTTGGAGGTTAAGGTTGCTTTTTGTTCTGTGTTTTCTTCAGAAGGTATTAGGTCATAACCTATTTCAAGATTGAAATTGATAGTTATCGAAATATTTAGAGAATAGAGAAATATTTTAGAGACTTTTATTAGAGGTCATTATTATTAGTTACAACCTGATGTGACACTATGGCAGAAAAAATAAAGATAATATATGTTCTGTCGCTCGTTTCCAATATTCACCGTATAAATTCCAAGCAGAAATGAGGCCTCAGAACGTAAACATTTTTAACATCGTGCTGGCGTGCGACTCGTGTATTTTCTCACAATTTCTCCTCGATTTTGCGTGAAAAATATCCATAGCGATATCGATATAATAAATTATTGTGAAATAATTTATTTCTTGCTGGAGGTCGAACCAAATAGAACATGACTTGTGAAACGCGTACTCTTCGAATAGATGCTCATAGTTGCGATCCATGAAATAAGTGTACGTGGGGTGTTCAAAAATTAATTACCGCAGTGGAATTAGAAACATTTCTGAAATGTAGAAGAATCACGAGAGAGAACAACCATCGGAGATAATTCAAAAACCTAATGCCCTAATGTAACGTAACGTAACCTAACTTAAATCCTAATTCTTTTTTAGATGAGCAGTGGAAGAATTTGAATATCAAAATCTGTAGTGGTTGAATTTTTCTGTCCGAATTGAGCTGTGAGAACAAAAAACGCTCAGAAAAGAATCTAACGTAACCTAAGCTGAATTCTACTCAAACCTAACGTAACCTAAATGTAAACTCTTATCATTTTTTCAGCAATTGCTAAAAATTGGTTGAAAAGCTGAATTCAAACATATTCTATTCTGATTTTGCCTAAACCCCAAACATTCGTCTCATTTTCTTCCATTGACAACTTATATCCTTGAAACGCATATAAATTTATAATGTTCCTCGTCAGGAACTGATACAATATATTTTCTGTTTCATTTTTAGATGAGTAATTAAAAAACGTAACGTTGAAAAATTTTCAGAAAAGAAAACCTAACCTGACCTAACCTAACGTAACCTAACATAACCTTAAGCTGACCTAACCTTACTTAAATCCTAATAATTTCCACAGTTGAAATTTTCTTCCATAGACTTATTATATAACCTCAAAACTCGTATAACTTTTTCATATTCGTCATCAGAGATTATATGAACAGACACATCTCATTTTTTGGATGAGGAGTTGAAGGATTTGAATATCAAAATCGGTAGTGGGTACATTTTTCCGTCCGAATTGACTTGTGAGAATAAAAAACGCTCAGAAAAAATCTAACCTAACCTAAGCTGAATTCTACTCAAACCTAACGTATACGTTAGGTTACGTTAGGTTAGGGAAAAATGATTGAAATTTACCTCGGAATTTTCATTTCGAACGAAGAAAATTACTTCAGTTTTATTGAAAATATACTCTCTCTATTGAATAATTCACATCCCCGNTGTAAAATTTTATCAGAGTATAGAATTCCACTGTGAAATTATATAAGAGTGTAAAATTCTACTGTAAAATTCTGTCAAGAGTGTAATATCTCGATATAAATTTATATCGCAAATTCACCCTATAACGTTTTATTTCAACACAAAAGTACACTCAAAATGAAAAATTACACTGAAAAATTCCACACTTGTCTTCGGGGTAGAATTACAAAATAATATTCCGCATGGAATGTGGGATCACATGCGGAAGTAATTTGTCGCTAATATGGGCGGTAATTAAATTGCCACCGGTACCGGTGGAAAATTTTTTACCAGTGTAACCGTATGTAAACTGTTCTTTCAGCAATTGCTCGAAATCGGTCGAAAAGCTGAATTC